ACTATGAAGTTAGCAATGGTATCAATTGAAAAGAAACATGACACTTACATCTATCTGTTCGAAAATGCGATTCTTCTCCCGGCTGCGATCCTGGCAATCATCTCGTGCCAAGCCGAGCCCGTCAGAAAAGCTATCCATCCCTGTAGGGCTCTCTTCTACCGCGATGATTGCCTTTTACTCTCCTCCGCCTAAGCATGTACTGAGAGATCTAAAACAACACGTATCCGTCTGGTTGAAGTTTGATGGATCTGTGCCAAAACGGTGGTGCGGACCCCTCCCCGATGTCAGCATCAGCGGATCGGAAGGCAGTTACACTGCCCTGATCGACCACACGGACGCGCTCGCTATTCAAGATATTATTAATCGATCCCTTCTAATTCTTTATTACGATACTTACCGGTGTACAAAGTGAGCATGGAGTTGATACGTCACGTCGAGGGACCGAGTGAGGAGACTCGCGAGTGGCTGGAGGCCAACATGACGCGTATCAAAAGCGCCATTACTGCACCGAATCCCACGAGGGAGCAGAGGAGGTTCGGGGAACAGTTTTGGAGCAAGCTAAGGATGTTAGAATCTCTGTAACTTATCATACATGATAATGACAGTAAATGCAGAACCTACGAGGGCTTGGCATGGATGGGGGCGACGCTCTACTTCATCCGGAGGCATCTGAGGGCGGTTGGGAGGGATGAGCCGGAGGAAGTCGCATGATGTGTCGAAGCTTTTCTTTTTTGATTAGGTCCAACTGCCGCGTGGAGTATTGAAGAACTTACGGGGTGGATCAGGCTACCTTTTTGTTATTTTAGACTGGTGGAATGATATTTTTCGGCAAGTGCCAATGACTCACCGTGTCGCTCGTGTCGACGCTGCTGGTGCTGCAGAGTCAGTTGCATATTACCGTCGCGACTTACACAGAGTACTTACCGTGACAGTATCGATTGGTGGAGCGGAGGATGGGTGGCTAGTAGTAGTCAGCCATTGAACACTATGAGGCAATTTTTCTTACATACTTACGCGTAGTTGCTGCTTACTAGTTGTAATCAATCTCAGGATTCTTTTCTCTCAGAAACTCCACTCAGAAAGGCCGGAGCCAATTAGTTAAAGGATGACATTAATGCTATATAGCGGAATATGAATCAGTTGCCAAACTCAGGTACCCTCACATCTGACCTTCTGCTTCCGGGGAAATTGATACTTCTCCTTGTTTTTGACCGAATCGAAATGAGGTATACCCATGTACGCAATGGCCCATGATGTAGCAAGTCCAGTGTCACGATTCATGAAGGTATCGAAGTTATTATGATCAGCGGCTCCCGTTAGGTGTGTTCTCACCCTATTTAGGGCTGGACAGGCACATAGCATGTGCTTGATAGTGTGAGGAATGTATCCACAGTGTGGACAACTCATGTCCGTAGTCTTCAGGTGATAACGGAAGACTGGATTGGATTTGACGGCAATGTTGCCAGTGCGCATTCCTAAAAGCATGGTTTGCTGCGGGGTATCCAAATCGTGATAGAGCTTCAGAGTGTGCTCACCAAACTCAACTTGGTATGCTGGCTGCGCAAATTTCCGAGTGCGAGACGACTCGGTTGCTTGCATGCGCCTCCAGAAATCAAACTGCTCCTTTGCTTTGGCAAATGTCTTCATCGAGATGAAGTTCTTGATCCAAAGTTTTCGTGTCGCTGCCTTTGCCCACATACTGTCGCATGCTGCCCCATCATAATAGATCTCCTTGTTCTCAAATATTTGACGCTTATAATCACTTGCTAGCGAGCTCATTTGAGTATGAGGATGATCTTCTCTCTCTGCCCCAGCCAAGATTCGCATGAACTCGTACTCTTTCGAACCAAGTTTTCGGCACCGATGGTTCATCGCAGCTGCATAAAGTTGCAGGGAAATCGGTAGAATATGCATTTCATTCTGCAACAGTTCTTTGGAAGTTCGTCTCCAAGCCTTAGAGAGTTTAAGGAGGATCTCAGTTTGGAGGGATTCCAACCTGTCAATGGCGCGCCTTGATATGCGAAAGCTTAAACTTTTGTGGCTTTTCTCGTCAAGTGTATTATCGAGAAACCAAGCGGGGCAGGCGTATGTAATGATGAGAATGAGATGTTGGTGGTAAAGATTACGTCGTTGCTCGAGCGTGATACCCCAGGTTGACCCAAAAAGGAACTGGTAGTTCTTCAGCCTCTTCCTAACCTTTTTGCGTAACTTTCTATATGTGAGTTATTTTGGGCAAAGAGATCAAGGGATGAAGAGGGACACAACTTACATAGTTGGCATGGTCAACCCAAGTGAGGCGTCGATCGAAAACAACCCCGAGGATAGTCATCGTTGGCTGTAAAATGCTCTCTTCTTCTTGCTTGTTCAAACCCTGGAAACCGATCATTTTCGGCAAAAGCTTGCAGTTGACGTCTTTGTTTCCCTTTCCCGGCTTCGAAAAATGCATAATATGGTATTTGGTAGGTGAAAAGTGCATATCGTTCTGATTTGCCCACTCGTAAAGCCGGTCATGGATAATGCCCATTTTCGCAACATTTTCTTCATATGATCTTGTGGAAAGGAGAATGTACGTATCATCAACGTAAGAAAAAAGCATTGCGGAGGTGTAGTTCGTGGCCAATTCGTCTAGGAGGGGCGCCGCGTAGAACAAAAATAGCAATGAGGAGAGTGGGCTTCCCTGAGGAACGCCGACATCGATGTAATACTCATCACCATCGTAGCCGGGAAGGTGGATGTAGGTGCGGCGATCAGATAGAAATGACCATGTAATCTCGATCAGCCAATCAGGTATACCAAGTGAGATCAATTTGTCCAGCAACTTGCGTCGGTCAATGTGATCATACGCACCCGTAAGATCAAGACCGAGCAGACTGACCTTCAAGCCCTTTGTCCAATCGGCGTAGATTTTTGTCGTTAGCAATTCTAGAGCAAGAGTTGTGCTGCGGCCCGGCGCGCCAAATTGTGTAAATGGGAGCATTCCTTCCACTTCTAAGACAAGACTTTTAAATCGGTCCGCTATTATTCGCTCTAGTAGCTTTGCCAGCGTGTTCAGAAGGGCGATAGGTCTGTAGGACTTGGGTAAGGATGGGTCTTTTCCAGGTTTTTGGATTACAACGGTGATGCAGTCCTTGAAGCTAGTAGGGTGGAACCGCAGGTTAAGACACGTCTGAAAGATCCAGGTAAGGGTGGGTGTTATGGCGTTAGCACATATCTTTAGTGCCTCATACGGAATACCGTCTACACCAGGGGACTTGCGGTCTGACGCGTCTTGCAGCAATCTCGCGACTTCTTCCTCCGTCACCTGCTGGTCGGAATGGTATTGTTTTCAGGTAGGGACGAGGAGTGGTAACGGGAAGTCGCGTCCATTCGTCGACGTGTTGCTATTGTTGAGAGTAGCCTGTGTACATGTAAGCATGTGATAGCGCCAGTTGTTAGATAAGTAATGCCTGAACACACTTACACGAGATTCCGAAGAGGCGTTAATATGTGGCGCATTTCTTGGGGGTCCTTTGTACCTGAATAGGCGCCAATTTTGCACGACAAAACATTTCACCTTTTCTTTACTTCCCTGATCGTTTCACCGGGAGTTGATTCAAAATCTGGCGTGTATTTGGGAGGTCGCGGCTTGCCACGGTTCAAGGTATTCCTGGCTAAGCGATTCACCCCGAATGTTCTCTTGGATTTCCGTTCCACCCAGTCGCGGTAGTCTTCGGAATTCTTGGCTGAATCTACCTTGATAGATGACGGTTGAATTGGATGATGCTGGAATATATCACGGATGGTTACATGACGCAACATTGCCTCATGAATGATGTCTCGGAACGTGCCCAACGTGCGATTCAGATCGGTCCCATTGGGGTTTGGAGGAAGGTCCAGCGTTTTTATACGTGATGCAACGAAGTCGTTGTATTTACTTCGATCGGCTTCCTTCCAGAGAAATCGTATTCCAGACTTGCATCGCAGATCTATACTGATTGTGACTGAGGTGATAGCATGATCGCTCTCGTATCCAGGGACATTCAGAACGCTGTACCAGGACTGATCGTCCAGAAACCCACTTACGAAAATGATGTCGATCGAAGACGCATACGCACCACTGCTGCTCTGACCGCGAGCATAAGTGAGGGATCCATCATTCTTGCATACCATCTCCCTAGCTTCCATTACTGCGACAAGATCTTTAGCTTTCCTGCTGATATACTTCTCCTCGATGTTGCGGCTCCACAGAGGGTGTTGTAGGTTGCTATCGCCGACCACGACATGAGCCTTGTATTCATCGCCACAAGGATTTATGAGGCCTGCGACATCTAAGCGGCCGTTCGGATGGTTGTGGTTATAGAAATTGTGGACAACAAGTTCGCCTGAATCGATCCTGATGTGCAGTGACGCTACAAGGCCTCTATTGGGCAATGTAGGAGGTTCCGATACAGCCCATTCCTCAATGGACTGGTGTACCAGAAATGCAACTTTTGCCAATTGTTTGCATCCTTCGAGTTGACCTTCGAGTCGCTGTTTTGCGTCTTCGATCATCTTCCTCTTCTCAATCAATGCCCGTTTCTCATGAGCCGTTGGATATGGAGGAGAATAGAGACGGAAGTAAGGGTTATCCTCCCCTGCAATTGCAACACGGTCACCGTTGCCATTGTCTCCACGAAACCAGGTATTGCAAAGTGACACAGAAGAGAAGGCGAGCTGCAAGGGAGGATCCTGGATGGCAATGACATCGGGCAGTCGACTTTGTGTCTTGAGCCAGTTACGGAGGCTCAAGAGGCGTTGGTAGGAGCACTTCATTTGTACTGAAATGATGTAACCCTCTCCATCATCCAGGCTGGGGGTTTTTGGAGTTTGACCGTTCCAAAAATTGCCCCCACTATGCTCAGATTCGGTCTCCCGTCCCGCATCAATGTTCGGTTCTTTACGAGCATTGGATTTGTTCCAATTTATCTCCTGTTCAAGTAAGTCAGCAGTGCAGTGCAAATTGTGTGAGATACTCACTCTCTCCAAGCATCTAAGTTGCTGCAAAAACGCTGTTAACCTTTATACTTATGTGAACAACAGTATGACGCGGAATTACCTGAGATGTTCCCGTCTGTTTCTGCTTCTTCTTCCTCACCCTGCTGTCGGAAATGCTCGCTTTCCTCCGCTGCTTGCCTGAATTCATTGAAGCAAACTGTCGAGGGGTATGGGCTGCCATTTATTCGAGATAAGTGATCTGGTACGCTATATAGCAAACAGAGATAGAAAGTTCAAAGTGATGCCGAACAGAGATAGAAAATCAAGTCGTAAGCTGTCGAGTTGATAAAAGGCACGATTGTGAAAAGACATAACTTGCAGATTCTCCGCTCAATATATACCTTTTACGCACGGGCACAGCCCAACAGTCAACAGACATGTGATTCACCTTGCCCGCAGCCTGTCATGCAAAAGTTGTTTTTTTTCGTTTTTTGATCAACCACGCTTGATGTCTCGATCATACATTGGCGTTTCGGGATCACTTTACCCGGTGTAGCGCTAATACTGACGACTGCAACATAAACTTTCTTTGAGCGATCTTGCTGCAGGATTGTAACTATCACAAGCATCGGCAATTTGCACTTTTCTCTAAGTGCACATGGTGTAGTGACAGGGGAGGGGCTTGTCGGACAGCGGCTATATCGTCCGGTTCCGCGGGTTCAATCTTCAGCTTGCACATCTCGATTTATCATCTCGGTTTACAACCTCGGTTTGCCATCTCGGTTTCGTATGCAATGCGAGTGTATTGGTGGAAGATAGCTGAAATGCAAAAAAGAAAGGCCAAAACGACTAATGTTGAAGTCATCGCGTACTTGCCGGGTACCCCGTCGGGCACGATTTTAGCTCTAGGCGCTGTACACCCTAACCCTAGTTCCCATCGCGGATAGTTATGGCAGGGGAACGGTGGAGTAACATACGACGGCACATGGCGGGGTCCTTGGCGAAGTAACAAATGCTGGATTGACCACTTTTCTATACTAAATACGTACTTCCCACATCATACCATTCAATAGCCACTCGTGCCGTTTTCTACCAGGAAATTTTGTGAGTCTTTCCGGGTTTCTGCTATAGAGCTATATGCTCTTGAAAACTCTTCAAGATGCTCAAAAACTGTTCTGCATGGGATGGAAGCAAGAAAAAGAAAAAAGGGCTTATCATCGTTTCGTACGAGTAGTAGAAAACTAACCAATCTAGACTGGCACGTTCCGGGCCTACGGCAAGATAGCCGTAGCACATCTGATCCTGGTCCCGACATATTCCCCGCTTTAGCGCCGCTTATCAGTGAATACCAGCCGGAGTTGTGTCAAGATTCTACACCACACCTGCAGTCGTATCTTGCCCGGCCAGTCGGCATTACTTGGATCCTCAAATCCCCAGAATAAGGAGAATTGAGCCAACCATATAGATCTTGGATAGATTAATGTGGAGCTAAAGCTGCACCTTTCTTCAGCTCCATTGACGGGCTGTGGTCATGATGTTTCACTAAGACAGCAACTTCTTCGATCAACTGCACCAAAACCTACCTACCAGCAGCTTATTGGTAAGCGATAAGGATCAAGGAATCACGAGTATCGCTCATTCACGGTATGTAAGGGTGTCCGAAAATCCCTCATTCCGCTGATGCGTTGCAAGTCCTACTCATCGCATGCGTGTCCCACCCATCCATCGCCCATCAACTACCCAGTCTATTGATCGAATGGAACTATAACTGACACTATGGCATATTCCTTCTTTCTGGTCATCAGGATATGGAGAATGCCACCGGCAATAATGGATAGAAGGCATGTGCATGTGAAATCCTTTGTGCCACAAGGAACAAGGGGTCTCTGGTCGTCGTGCTGGTCACTTTCACAATTGAAATTAACTTAGTCACGAGAAGGAACAGATGCAATGTCAACCGACTTCCCGTTCGATCTATATAATGACCCATTCATCCACTTCAAAGCAGTCATCCATTCGCCTTTGAAACCCATCAACAGTCCATCAGCGATCATTTACCTCGCCTCATTCTTTTCAATATGTCTCTGCAAACACCTTCATCGTCTTCATCAGGGAGCACCCCCATGAAAAACTACAACGGGTTTGCGAGGGTATTCAATTCGCCACACACCATCTCACCGTCGGTCCCACTGCAGGATGTGTCAGAAATCATCGAAGATGCAGTTCAACAGGCATTGAGCACTCAACGGAGAGAGCTAATGGCTGCGATGACCAAGCAGTGCTACAAACCTATGCATTCTTTGACAGCAGAAATCAAATCTTTGAAGCACTTCATTGAGAAACGGCAGAAGCATGCGCCAGTCCGTTCACTAGATGCGATTTTGCTCAGAGTCGTGTTCAAACTGACCATGGCCGACACTGAGAAGATGTCCAAAACGATACCCGCTGAGAGACTTCAGATGGTGCAGTCGCTAGGCTATCCTTACGACCAAGCCACATCTGTTCGGATATACCCCAATCTGAACGAACTAGTGGTCTTTACAGATTCGCTTCCAGTACAGGAGGAGCTGAAGAAAAAGGAAAGGGTTGCGGCTATGGCGGGAGCGCTTGGCCTTGAACACAGATCATCGATCAAACTGGACAGCTACTGGGTGATCTTGCACGAATACGACCTTCCAGCCGATTATCTGAGGAATTGCAAGAGCCACCTCGAAGAGATGAAATCTCAGACTGGTCTCAACATCAGCGAAGTTAAGTACGCGGGCCAAAAACTCATGTGGGCCTTCAACACTCCATCTGAGGCCGTAAAGGCATGCCAGAAGCCTCTATACTTTGCAGGAGACCATGCAATAGCTATGTGAGTATGATTGGATGTGCATTGAAGTAGGAGCCGTACTGATTGAGCTTAGGGCTTATGATCAACGGGCCACACCCTTGTTCTGCAGGAAATGTGGTGGCCCAGGCCATATGTTTGAAAACAAGCAATGCCCGAATTTCTCGTTCAGAAAAGACCAAAGCTGGCCGTGTATCATCTGTGCCGAAAATCATACCTCTGAAGGAGACACCCAATCGTGTCCAAACAAAGGCAACAAAGCATCTCACCGCTGCTTGAACTGCAGGAGAGCCGGGCTTGCTGATGACAAACATCGCACTGAATCACACGACTGCCCCGCGCCAAACACAGTCAAATTCCGCGCAATCTGGAAAGCCCAGGCTGCAAGTCTTCCTAATTGGGCAGTGGGCATCGATTTTCCAACCACAGATCAGCTGCGTTCTCAAGTTGAGCGAGGAACCATGCAACAGCCCAATGGGCCCAACAAGGTCAATAGAAAGGGCAAATTCAATGGCCCAGTTCAAACGGCCGGGGAGAGTTCCCTCCCAGGCACAACTGTTGTGAACAGGAAGGGTTTGATGGCACCTAAGAACGCCAAGCAACCGGCATCGGAACCTGAGGCGATGGAGGTTGTCGATAGTGAGTCGAGCGACGATAAGCCCAAAGACGGGGCTACCCGGAAAATGGCGATGCTAGTATCGTCCCAGAGTTCTCTCGGTTCAAGCTCTGCTAGCACTCCCCGCAAGACTGGATCCGCCAATAACCAGACCTCGATTTTTGGTTGGGTTGAGCGAATCGGCTCCACTCCCAAGAGTCCCACAAGTACTGCATCGAGTGCTGGCAACAAAACAAATGCCAGCCCTTCAGTTCGTTACGGAAGAAGTAGCAAGACCGAGCCCAAACACAAGAAGGGAAGTGCCGCAACTACCATTATCGAGGGGAGAAAGAGGGCTCGTGAAGAATCCGAACCGAGCTTACGGGGCTCTCGTTCCAGGCGCAGAGTTGACATTGACGACTTTGACACGGCCAGCACTCTCGCAGAGTCCTCTAGCTCCCAAAAACAGGCTACCGACACTGTCGACTCTACCAAAAGACATGGCAAGGGCAAGGGCAAGGGCAAAGCACGGGTTGAAACGAGAGAAAGCGACGTGGAATGTGTGGAAGAGTCAGAATACGATGGCGAGTCAGCATTCATATCGGAAAGTGATGAGTACGAATAATCGGTATTCTTCAGTCGTTTCAATCTTTCACTTATCTATTCACAGAACCATTCGTTCGTTCAAAAGAAGTATTGTATCTAGTCCTTCCTTCCTTTATAGAGCATCCACTATTGTAATTCGCCATTCTCCTGCTCTTCTGAAAGACCAATCACTGCCAAACGGACATCACAGCATGCTCCTCCTGCAAAAATACGCATCGCCAAGAGTAAACCCCCCTCTTGTTCTTCGTTTCAGCGGCAATAACGTCTCGTATGACTTGTCATTTCTTCATCCAAGATCCAAGAAGTTATATGGCATGGCTTGACATTAACATACGTGTTAAACTCTTCGAGTGATAACGTGACAGGGGGGCGCAGCGGGTAATCGAGCTAGGTCCGCACCCTCCCGTCTTTCCCACCAGCCTAGCGCGATATCCCTGGCTGCTGGCACCGATAAGCGAGGACACTGTGGACCCGGATAACTTCCCCGTCTTTGGCACTATCGCGGCCGGCCCATGTGACCCTTGGTGGGACCGGAAAACAAGTGGGTAAGAAACGGTACCTGTCCCAATAGTGCGACTGCTCAGTGAAGCTAAAACTGCGCGCTTCTTAACCATCAAATCTACGTACGTCATGTTTGCAAACGTATTTGACCCAGCCAGTCAACATTGTTTAAACACGTTTATCCCCCAGAATAAGGAGAATCAAGCTAATCACAGCCTATGCATACATTTCTGAAGATTGCCACAACCCAGATCGCAGACCCCAAATGATAACTCGAGTATTGCTAAGGACGCTTTGAGTAGCGGATAGCTCTTTTGCTACCTTCTTATTGGAAGCGCGAAATTTGTTTGCAGACATCCTGTATATGAAGATTGCTGTACTTGGTGAGAATGCATGATCGGATCGAGAATTTGCAACGTCGTTGGTGGTGATTTCAGCTGTGATGTGAGGGATTGCTGGAGCTACTTTCTTATTTTGGGCTATTTCGGTCCACCAAGAGACATTGCATCCTCACCGCCGATCACCACCATCAATGTAGACTCTAGAAGATGGTGCCATCGACGTGGCGAGAAGGAAGGTGGCCGATACGGAGCATGTTGTGGGTGAACAGAGAGGTAGAGGCGGAACAGGTGCGAGTAGAGTCGCCGGACTTGACAGCAGCGATCATCCGGCTACACGAGCG